GGGCCATGTGAAGAAGGCAAGGCAAGGCAAGGCAAGTTTATTTATATAGCACTTTTCAACACAAGGCAATTCAAAGTGCTTTACAAAAAATGAAAGACATTAAGAAAATGGCATTTAAAATCAGTCATTAAAAAGAAAAGCTAATAAAATAAACATTAAAAGAAAAAATACATGGATAAAAGTTACAGTGCAGTCTAAGATATGAATAGTTAAATTAAAAGCAGCGACAAAAAGAAAAGTCTTCAGCCTGGATTTAAAAGTAGTCAGAGTTGCAGCGGACCTGCAGGTTTCTGGGAGTTTGTTCCAGATATTTGGAGCATAATAACTGAACGCTGCTTTACCGTGTTTAGTTCTGACTCTGGGGACAGAAAGCTGACCAGTCCCTGAAGACCTGAGAGATCTGGATGGTTCATAATTTAGCAGGAGGTCAGAAATGTATTTTGGGCCTAAACCATTCAAAGCTTTATAAACCAGCAGCAGTATTTTGAAATCTATTCTTTGGCACACAGGAAGCCAGACAGTGTAAAGACTTCAGAACAATCAATAATCAATATGTAGCACAAACAATCGAAGGTCAAATATGTAGCACAACATGCATACATCTCTCAGGATCCTTTTTCTTTTACTGTAATAGCTCTTTTTCTACTATCAGCCTATGGGACAGCCGTTTCACTTTTCCTTTTCTATTTTCTCTGGCTAAATCCTGAAGGGTCTGTTGGTTGACAAATGCCATTCGCTCCCACTCTGAGGGGAAGGCTGCATGTTTAGAGCCCTTGCAGAATGTGTCTATCCAGCACAAATCGTCTATTAGGAAACAGTTGCAACAGTTGGTGTACCACAAGCATCCGGGCAATTCTCTGGGTTGTCAAAATGGTCCCTCTCGCTTTCTCTGTCCCCCTATTTTCTCCCCCTTTCTTTCTCTTCCCTCACCCCACTCTCATCTCAGAGAGCAGTAGCAGATGGGGAGACCAGTGTCAGCATTTCCAGTTGGATCAGCTGACGGATATGCATACCCTGTTTCCTTTCCTGTCGATGAGTGTGTGTGTGTGTGTGTGTGTGTGTGTGTGTGTGACGTGTGTGTGTGTGTGTGTGTGTGACGTGTGTGTGTGTGTGTGTGTTTGTGTGTGTGGTGTGTGTGTGTGGTGTGTGTGTGTGTGTGTGTGTGTGTGTGTGGTGTGTGTGTGTGTGTGTGTGTGTGTGTGTGTGTGTGTGTGTGTGTGTGTGTGTGTGTGTGTGTGTGTGTGCTGTGTGTGTGTGTGTGTGTGTGTGTGTGTGTGTGTGTGTGTGTGTGTGTGTGTGTGTGTGTGTGTGTGTGTAGGAGAAAGGTGAAGGGAATAGCATGCATACAAAAAAACGTTGACAAAGCATCTCTGTTTTCATGATGAGGCCACCAGAACAGGATGGGAGAAAAAGGAGGAGTGCAGAGGGTCAAAGTAGAGCAACCACAGGGGTTCCATCCCTTTCTTTATCCAAATAAATGGGTCATTATTTGGTTAGATATTGCCCTGTTCATCTCCTATGGAAGGACCTATTTTAAGTGGCTTAGTATGCTTTAAAGAAGCATGCACTATACATCTTATTTCATTGTTTGTTAAGAAAAAACAAGGGAGAACACTTCATTTTGAAAATCTTTCTGCAGTAGTAGGGGTTCCCCACTAAGGGTCTTTACAAGTTATAAAGTTAGGGAACCTCTATAATTGAAGTGAAGGAAGAAATACAGAAGAACAAAAAAGAAGGTTAAAAACGCATCAATTGTAAGGTATATTTGGTAATAAAAGAACATTTAAAAATCACTTGGGGAAGAAACAGAGCGAGAAGGAATGCAAGGAGAAAATGATGAGGGGAAAGCAGTTAGAGACAAAGGTTAAAGGAGGCTGCAAATTGAGAGACAGGCAGGAAAGGAACGTAAAAAAAAGACGAAATTGAGGAAAGAGAGAGGAGTAACAGATGAGAGAATGTGTCCCAGATCCAGGGTGTGTACACATTGATCTCTGTGTATGTGCGTGTGTTTGTGTGTACGTGTGTTTGCTAAAGTGGTTTGTGTTGCAGGGATCTTGGCTGCTGTCAGGCTAGGGGACTCCCAGAGGAAGCCAGTCCTTGTTCAGTTTACAGTGAATGATTCCCTTCCTGCCCTGCACAGCCCTGCAGGCCAATGGCCAACCAGGTTTGTTTGTGTGTGTGTGTGTGTGTGTGTGTGTGTGTGTGTGTGTGTGTGTGTGTGTGTGTGTGTGTGTGTGTGTGTGTGTGTGTGTGTGTGTGTGTGTGTGTGTGTGTGTGTGTGTGTGTGTGTGGACAGATTGCTTTTTTGGCTTGTTTTTATTTTGCCACTCATGAGTTGCTTCCTTTTTTCCAATTCATTAAAGTTGTAGAAAGTAGGAAACTAAGTGTATTATTACAGAGTGATATTAAAAAGCTCATAATACAGTAGACAAGTTATGGGATTTCTTTGAGACCATTTACTCAACTAACATTATCAAGGCTTCCCTGTAAAAATATATCATTACAAGTCCTTAAAGTACATCTTTACCTGAGTAAAGGGGACTGGAGACATATTATTTTTATATACAAAAATGTGAAAGAAAAAATTGTCATTACGCAAAGCGGCACCACAGAGTACTGTTAAGCACTGAGCCTGTTTTTCAGGTCTCAGGCTCGAAAATGACATACCCAGAACAAATGACCATATCTTCCCTTCTAAAAGGGTTAAATGAATAATCTTTCTTCTCAAAGTAATGACAAACCTGTGAGTTGGATGTAGAAGAGTCAGAATCAATATAGATGTTTTTATTTGAAAGAAAATTCAGATTGAACATAGTAAAAAACTGTAAATTATAGTGTCCGTCCAAACATTCTTTTTTGCTTATAGTGAAAACTACCCTTGGATGATGGTAAGGTAGACTAAAAGCTTTAGGAATCCAAAGTACAACATATAGTAAGTACCCTGTATCAAGATTGATGCAAAACAAGTGACATTTGACCTTTTTAGAGAGGTTTAGCAACAAAAAAAACACTTCTGGGGTCATTTGGGTGGATTTTCCATATCTCTGGCCCCCCTTGGTCGATTTTGCTATCTCTTTCTAACTGTCAGAGCCAATGGAATCGAGGGAAAGTTCCCCATACACACACAGCTTACCAAATAAGGAGTGAGAGAGACGCGTAGAAAAACCGGAAGCTGCGCTAACCTCTGGTGGCTACCATTAACAGCTAATTTTTCTTCTCCGATTTTTGCATAAAAATGGAATTATGGATTATCAATAATTTTTTCAAAGTGACAGACACATTGCTATAACCTATGGATTAACCTTCAGCCGCGGTTTTTCTCGTTTTAATGCCATTGAACACGACTTTTGATCAGAATAACAGCTAAGGTGAGCATATCTCCGTGTATTGCTACCTAAAGCTACTCGTGTGTTGTCTGTATTTGCTTCCCCTGTCACAAGTTCTGATTGCTCAGTGATGATCCTTATATTTATATAATCTGTGGACTCTCAGGATGTTATCTAAGCTTGTTTGTGCAGATACAATAAGTATATCGATCAGTGTTGCTAGAGTTCTGTGCTAACGGCCTTAAGATTGTTTCGCTCGTAGCTACTTCAGAGGCTCGGAGCTAGCTTTGTGGGTTTAAAAAAAAAAAAAAAAAAAGATCAGTTAGCTGAGTTTCTTCCCGTTACATGGATATAAAACATTCATAGTTTATTGAATATTAAGATGCCCTCAGACGCTGTTTCCTGCAGATGACGCGTTCCCCCCGGTATCGGGGGTGCGGTGTAGAAGAGGTTAAGTATTTACAGAAGTATATTATGTAAAGGTGAGTGAAAAAAAGAACATTATTTTCTTCAAAATGTATATACAAATATAAAATGATGGAATGTACAACAGAGTCATACTGTAATATTTTAGCAACACATTTGCAAGTAGTCAAGTGTTGCTGATATTTCACTGACAGCTGATGATGTAAATATCAGTAGATGTCGATATAATGAGCAGGGAAATCAATGTGATGTATTTAGAAAAACAAATCAGGGCATGGAAAAAATTATAATCCAGCTCTGATCTGACATTTAAAAACGGTCATCAAAAAGTAATTTCTCAATTTGGAAAATATAGAATAATTGCTCAAATTGAAAAAGCACTTTGTTACACTTGGAAAAGTAATAAGCCAACTGTAATGTTCCCCTCCAAACAGTTTAAACCCCACAACAATATGAAACTTGTTGGAGCAAAGAATCCGCTCCAGTCTTCCCAAACAACTTAAACCACATTTCAGTGTTTCCTCCAGGATCTTTATTCTGGCACAGCGGCCTCTCAAACAGCGTTTCAGGCCATGTTCTGTCTCAGCCGTTACACATTAAGTGTGGATTAGATGAAGAATGCCATTGCTTCCAAAAATGTGGTGAAAATACTTGATCGGGGTGAATGGAGGTCTTGCATAATACACATTTATTCATTTAACGCATTGTTTTTGTTGAATTAAAATGACTTTCTGTCGTAGAAACATACATTCAGCAAAGAAAGGTTTCAAAAAATAACTTACTTAACTTATTTATGAAAGATCAACTATGCATGCAGATTTTTTTTCACCTATAATAATGTAACATTTCTTAATAATTCATTTTCAGATGTTTTCATTGAAAGTGTACATGTTAATGTATAAACTATACATTACCTACAGCTGAATAAACACCTGCTATTGGCAACATCTATGTTTTTTTTTTTTAGATAAACTCTTTTTCCATTCATGATTTAGTTTTACTAGGATGTAGCCAGACCCATGTGTGTAAAGATAATAAACATAATAGCTCTCTCTCTGCCAGCCTTTGCGAAACACCACTGAACCTCAAGCAATGCTACCATCTTGTGGCCAAACATGATAATTTCTAGTGTTTGTGTCGTGAGGTGGACTGTGTCTCTGGTAAACACCTGTAATAGTTACATTGTTATTAATAAAAACACAGATGTTCACATGTAATGCCAGAAACAGAGACACACATACAGCAAGCTTATTAGCAACAGGTGTATTGGACAAAGCATACAACATGTTCCTTTAAAGATATTTCTGTACACTTTTATTCACTTGTCTACCTTCTAAGCAGAAAATCTATCCTAGTTACATACATACTATTTATTTTATGCATTATCATGTAATTTCCTTATTTAAGTTCATTGAATACAATATGTATTACTTTGTAAAAGTCACATAAACTTTTGCTACGTCACTATGTATATTTCAAAAATGTTTGTTACGATGCTCAGCAAAATTAAATTGTATTAGCAATATCATTTATAAATAAATATTCACATGAGTAATTTTACCTAGTATAACGTCACAGTATTATGGGTATATAGAAAGGTGCTTGCGTAAATAATGGTTCGACTGTATAGATGAGCTATTTTGCTCAGTGAAAAGAAACAATGTGACTTTTCTAGTCCAGAACAGAATGGACAATATTTGGTCCCTTTCTGCCTTATACAATATAACATTCTTCTTTTTGTGCCACTTTTTCAGGAACATACAACTCAAAAATAACTCTGCTGATAACTGAAACAGCCTTGTAAATGTTCCCTCTGTGGGACGGATACAGATTTTGAAGACTTGTTGGCATGGCTAACCCTTTCATTAACATAATAGGTGCTTTTCATATGACCTGTTACAATTTCTGACTTTCCAAATAGTACATAAGTTATTACAAAAGCTGTCATAAAACAGGCTTCAGCAATATACAATTGGTTACTATTAGGACTTTTAGTCATTCAAAAGTCAGCAAACATCCACTCTACTGAATATTTATAATACTATTATTATTTTATTCAGTTTAGACTTTGTTTTCCTCAGTTTGAATTCAACGCCAGATGGTCGGCTCTTTTATGTTTACTGCCATGTTGGTTTACTTCGTACCAGACGTGATACATTGTAAAACTATTTCTGTGTAAAAGCAGCCCGTTGCTATCTTCCCGCAGTGGTATTTCATACCGAGGTTCAAAGTGAACACACATTTATCACGGCTGACATGCACTGATTTAGCACACATTTGGGAGAGAGGGTGTATGTTCTTATAGGCAGAAATTATTCTGGATATGTATATATACAGCTCATATCGCTGCAATGTAAAAACAATTAAAAGTATAAGCTCCTTACATGAACTGGAACCTTATATTCCCTGCATAAACAAGAGGAATGAACAAACATGTAGGTTATTAACATGGAAGTAGAGCTTGAACTAACTGTTAAACAGCATTATGTGTTGGCCTCAGGCTGTACTGCTCTATTGTACTGATTTTAAGTGACCTTAAAATGGGATACTTTGCCCAGTGCAAAATGTGTATTTAAAGACTTCAGTGAGCGTGTCCGTGGTTCCTGGTGCCGTCTTGCTTTACATGTTACCCGCAGGCCTTGGCAGGAAGAAGATGGCCTTCTGACCCTGGTGGGTGTCCGGTCCTGCTTTAGGTTGGCCGTTCCTCTTCAGCCCGACATACCAGTTGTACTTCTGAGAGCAATATGTGTTGTAGTTGTTTTCTTCATACTTCTCTAGGAAGTAACACTCATCATTCAGTGCTTGCTGAGACAAGCCAATAAAGAGGGGGGAGAAAAGAGAAGAACAGAAGACATTTAGATTTATTACAAGTCTTCTAATTCTTCCTGTAAATTCATATTGAAGGGTGTACAAATATACACCGTTTAAACACAGTAAGATATTTTAGGAAAACATAATTTAATGTGCTGAATAATAGAAACCTACATGATAAAATCTGTAGTACTTTAATATCTTATGTTAGTCATCTGTACCAGTAATACATTATTGCTCCCAGTGATTTATATGACCTAAGAAATGCTTTAGTCACCCTGGGATTTTCCAGTGTTTTGCATTTGGGGGAAATAACACACCAAGGTGAGTATAACATTTTCGGTAATTTGTGAGTATAATCTTAAACTGACAAGAGTATGTGTTATGATTTGAACACATTGAAATTAAGTGTTCTTTTTAACGGTAGTATTTTTTTTGTGACAAACTTCAAAATGTAAAAACTCACTGATCCGTAGAGGTGTCCGTTTTTGTTCATAGCCAGGTACCTTCCTGTAATCTCTCCCTTGATAACCACAACTCCCACGCTCACAGCCTTCAGCCTCAGCACGTCTGCAACACAGAAATATGACAAGTTGAAGATAAACTTACTTTGACACATTGTAACATTTTCATCCTGAAATAAATATTTGCAATGGGAACACAGGGCCAGTATTCTGAATGTGTACACAGGGTAAATACTTGTGTCTACAGATTCCTGAGTAGCTTAACCAGAAGTACTGCGATTAAATACTTGCTCAAGAGGACTTTACCAGTTAGTGCAGGTCATTTTTAAATCGAGCCTGTATAATCTTCCACTACAAATCGAGTACCGTTGCCTTTTCTATTTTGTTAATCATTATATATACAACTATAACAACTTGTAATCATTAGGAAAGATACAACTTTAAACTAAAGGGTTTGAGAGTCATGTACAGAATATATTAATTTGTATCTGTTCTATAAAGTTAAAGTTAAAAAGCTTTCCTCTATATCTTTTAGATTGCTGCTGATTGGTTGATGTGTCTCAATCAGGAGCAATCTAAAAGATATAGAGGAAAGCTTTTACACATCCAAAATAGATGCAAAAGATTCCTGCCTCACCATAGGGGTCGTTTTCCTGCCTGCCACCGCTCACAGATCCATCAGGTAAAATCCTCAGGTGATAGCCTCCGTTCTGGCTGTACAGTCTGGTCAGTGTCCGCTGCTCCTGCTTGGACAGGTCTAGAGACACAGGTCCAAAAGGCAGCACTGTGACGTTTCCCTCAGACATCATTAAGAGATTCTGAGGTTTGGACGAAGCAGAGTGATGTCCCTGAGTCTGCAACGACAGAGAAGATCCATCAACCTCACTGTTCATGTTACCTGAACTCGGTCTGAGACAGGAGAGAAAACAGGAGGAGTACAACGCCACCTTCATGATGTAACTACGGGAAATGCTTGCCTCCCGCTACCACTTTCTCTCTCTACCACTTTCTCCCTCTATCTGTGTCTGTTTCTCTCTGCCAACCTTATAAGGCACTCTTTTTTTCATGAAGTGATGAGATCTGGATGCATGCCAGGTAGAACCGCTACATGTTCGAACATGTTTCCTGACTGAACATCACTTCGGTTTTTTTTTTTGTAAAATCATTTCCAGATGGCAATGATGTAACTTTCAACTAATATCAGTGCAAGGCCAGACAACAAACAAAGGACACGTGGACACAGCAAAGTGCAGGAAAATGTTCCAGTAACTTTTACTACCTGCTGGAGATGTTGTAAGTGCCAGCAATAGTTTATCAAGGATATGCAAGTAAACACAATAGCTACTTTCCTTCTATAAATCTTCAGTAGTCAAATATTTGAGATATTTCCACTTGAGGAACAGGAATCCAGCCAGCCTTGCCTGTCTGCCTTCTCAAAAGCTTATCCAAAAAACAATCAAGCCGTATTTAAACCGCACTATTAGTGTTATCTCAATTCCTGAAGGGTTGAGATCCCAGAGCAGCAGGGGCTGTCATAATGTCTTGTCAAATGGAAAACAGGGAAGCAGTGAAGGACACAACTCGTGGTCGATGTTATAGTTTGTTGCCAGAGGTAGGGAATAACTGCGATAGAGCCAGGCTAACCCACATCTGGAATGTCTGAGACAGGCATGAGGAACAGAGGGAGGAAGAAGAGAGGGAGAGAGGGAGAAGGAAAGTGAAAAGACAGAGCAGTGTAAAGCCACAAGAGGAATGTGAGGCCTACCCACTCACAGGCAGGACCCGAGAAGAAAGTCATGTGTCCTCAGGGACCTTCGGACAGAGCTGCTGGTGGGAATGACGTCAAACGTCCAACCGGTGACCGAGTCAGTGTGCGGACACGTGGGAGGATAGATTGAACCTGTGTGTGTGTTTGAGTTGGGGGAAGATTGCTCTCCTTTAACCTAACGATCACCCCCTCAAACTCAGAATTGCTGCGAATGAAATGTTGTTGTTTAATGAATAGTGCCATTAAATGTCATGTTTATGGATGCTGAACAACTGCAACGTTTGAAACCTTAAAGTGTCAGTTCACCCCAAAATTAAAAATACTCAGTTTTCCCTACCTGTAGTGGTGCCTAAATTGCATGAAATACAATTTGAAAAGCTCATCAGCTATTTATTTTTTGCACTACTCATGATCAATATATTCCACAGACCATATTGTTAAGAATTGTATGTAGGAACTTATTTTTCTTTTAAAACTAACTCCACCTGCCAAGCGTTTGATTGTGCTGAAGGAAGCCTGCATCTGCTCCTGGATGAGAGTCTCTCCGTAGCTTACCTGAGCTAGCTAACGTAGGAGGATGTACTTTGTGAGTAGATGCTTTCTTTTGAGCACTGATTTGATTTGCGGGTGTAGTTTGGTTGGTAGAAAGAAAGTAGTTCCTACATTAAACTATTCACAACATGGTCTGTTGATTATCTTGATCTTGAGAAAGATATATTGCCATTGATGCTTCCAAAGGGGTTTTTGTACAACTATGAGCACCACATGCCAAGGGCCATATGGCTCTGTTATATTCAAGAGAAGGCAAACATCTTTCTCTGTCGATATATTCAGCACTCGACAACTCACAAAACAATCTAGATACATAGATAGCACCACAGTTAAGAGAGAAAATATGTATTTTCTTATGAGGAAAACCCTTTATCATGCACAAACTTATACACAAAGTAGAATTAGTACCAACTTGCTTTCCTTTTGAAATCAAATATCAATATGTATAATAGGATAAGCAGAGATGATAGCAAGCCAATCAGATTTCCACACATACCAAAACTCCTTTAATCCAATGAGTGAGTCTCTTACCTGTGAGAAAGTCCTGTTACAGTGTCCCTGATGAGCCAGCATGTCCTTTTCTTTTCCTCTTTTTCTTATTGCCTTTTGTGCCAAACGTTCTTCCTCTTCCTTCCCCCAGAGAAGTGGCTACAGAGGATTAAGAATGTATGCCTGTACAAGTACCCTATCCCTCTCCTCAACTCACCACCCATTTTGCAACGTCAGAGGACATATTTTAACAGTCCAACGTCAGGACTAAAATTACCGCTCAAGAACAGAGAGAGAACGAGACAGAGTGACGCAAGTGTCCGGGCCATGGGACCCAACCAGAGCCTGGAAATGATCAGGCCCATAATAACTGACTGAGCATTGATACATTCTCTTATAGTGGATTCCTTCTGGAGACACCGTTGGGAAAAATAATATAAACATTTATAAAACACAAAGAGGATGACTTCACTTTCCGGAAGAAGTCGTACAGAGTGCCAGTACCTCTGCTGTCTCTGCTTACATGTAGTGCTGACAGTATGGAGGATAGTTAGGTCACATTACACGATGACACTTGCTTCACATTCCTGCAATGTCAAAATGTGTAGTCATCGAAAATAAAAATACACTAAATTATAAATAATCCCTAAATTCATGCTGGTGAGGTAAGAGGCATGAGATATAAGGGAAAGATGCTGGTTGACTTCAGATTAAATACTTCCTAAATTTAGACAGAATCGTTTTTTTTTCTTGGATTCATTTTTTTGTAATGGGCCCAAACAGAAGTGAGCCAACCTCTCCTAATAATTAAAAAACGGAGATAGTGGCTATGATGTACACAAAGAAATAATGAAAACCTATTATTGGGACATAATCACTTGGTAATGGTAATGATTTATATTTCAGAATTCTGCATGGCACGGCAAAAGCTTTGTCCTCGAAGTCCTGTCATCTAAATTGTGATAACTTTCAAAGTGAATGCACTCAGTTAAAAAAATATACATTTATATTAGTACTGTGGGGTGTTGGCATTTCTTGAAAAAAAAGAGAAGGAAATGGATTCTTAGGGAAACAACTATCTCAGTATCTATTTTTGCACACTCCCTTACTATCTGGCATTTGCTTGACAATTAACAGCAGTGGCTCTGGGAATTATTCATAGTGGTTGCTTCGCCTCTATCTCAAATGGATACTTCAAGCTCTTCTCTCTGTATAATTCATTCCATACAGTACATCTGCATTTTAAAACAGCTCATAGTTTCTAAGTTGTAAGATGCGTAATACTTACAATGTGCAGGAATTATAGAGTGACTTTACTGCCAAAAATAAATGCTTGACCTACTTTCTCTCACCTGTTTAACTACGAGCTTCTTAGGCTTTTTGGAAATAGCTGCTTTACCTCTAAATACCAGGAGATGGCAGAATAAGTCAACTATCACAATACACAAATCTGTTTAAAGTTCCCTTTGCACAATATGTAACAACATCACTCTATTGTTATTTGAATTGTGAAACACCCCCACAACTTGTAAGTGAAAAAACACTTAAAGTTTGCTGTATACACAGACACTGACACTTTAGTTCTAATAATCATAACTTGTAGACATTGCTTTTTCTCCGCACGATGGTGACATAGCATCACATTATCCAAATGATACAACATGTTAGCTGTTGAATGTGCAGCATGTGTGGAAGTGTGTTTGGATATTATCTTTCCTGCATGGCCCCAAGTCACCAATATGCCACAGAGAGATATCACTGTGCTTTGCAGTTATCTTTATTGGACTCAACCAAGTTGACATGAGGGGAGGGGTTATATGGTCTGATGTGATACTTTTACTTTATTCCTTATTTTTATTTTGGGTTGTTCTGTCATTCCGTTTTAGTTGTATATCATGAAGTAACATACAATTAGTAAATATTCTAAGTACTTAATATTGTAAAGCTGTACATGTTCCTTAAACTATTAATATGCACCACTTCTGTTTCACATACAATGGCTAGAGAACGCCTCGCATATGTTTGAGGTGGACTTCATGTCTCTATATGACTTTAAGTCTTCACTAAAGTCAGATGTCTGAAAAGTAACCTTGGAGTGTTACAGCTCTTAATTTTTGTTATCATGTGTACCTCATTGCCACAGGCCAGAATCCTTTAAAAGCAACAATGTTACCTTGATCTTTGAAACCATGTTGTTGCGGAAAACATTGTCAGTATGATTGCATATCATTACTTAGCCTGGGTATACAATAGTAAGACTCCTTCATCACCTTAATGAGACAAATAAATAAATAAAAAACACATGGTGATACTTACCGCTTCAACCTTTAATAACTAATAATGCTTATTACAATACACATAATCAAATGTGAAGCTTTTTATATTGACCAGAATCAGCTTCACTTGCCAAGTCAGTTGGACTCACACAAGGAATTTAATTTGGGATTCTATGGATCTCAACATGCACTTATTCTCCAGTGTGCACTCTGTATATCTGGAAACAAATTGCCTCTGCAATGACTGTACTTATTATAGTAGCAGTGTCCTGTTTTTATCAACGCTAATTGACTCTGGCCGTCTTTGGGCAGAAGGACATCCTCTGACTCACTGCAGAGGAAGCACTTCTGGCTGAGAATTTGACACAAGTGGGTCTCACTCTGACCTCACTTTCATCCTGTGGGAGGAAAAGGGGGGAGTAATGAAATACTGGATGTGAGCGATGTAGAAGTATAGGTGAATGAAACGAGAATATGAGGAGGACATAATGTTGGCTTGAGTATACTTTTAACATACACAGAATATAGCTTGATATATAGTAAATGTGAGATGGTTTTATAATGTGGGCATTTCCCCTAACTTTAAGGTGACTTAAATGGAAGGATATCAACGTTTTGATGGGCTTGTCAACTGTAATTTGCTTCATGTTTCTAAAGAGGAAATGAAAATGTGCAAACATATTTTTAGCTGCCATAATTTGGTTATTGTTCTCTGAACAGGAAGCTTTCTGTGGGAGAGGATATAATTTAAAAAGGACAAGAACAATCTAATTAACAGCATCTTGATGGCCATAAAGCATGTTAACAGAGTTATTGATTAAAGACACACCATCTTTAAATTCATTCAGCGATACTGAATGGAAATTCTTTTTTTAATCAAGTCATTGAGAAGTCTATTTGTGAACATTAGATTACCCTATTATCATGATTTCCCGTAATGTAGATCCACTACATTTCTAATGAGCTCATTGAGAGACTAATTGTGAGTGATGGCTAAACATTAATATGACATGTTATTTAAAGCATCGATAAAAAATGTATTTGTAGAACATATGGCTTTTTTAAATACATAAGTTACAACAGGTTATGTTATTTCAATATGGCAAGGGGACATTTCTATTCCGTTTTAAATTAATGATTATAAAGTTGTGGGCTTAACTGATTGATTCATTTATTTTTTTGCTCAACTGTGATCAACTGTCACTTTTTGATAGTGGGTGTATTCTTTTACAATACATGACTATAAACTGGTTCATTCTGGCTTTTGATCTAGCTTCCAGGCATCTTCATTGAAAACAACAACAGGCCATGACTTCTTGTAAATGGCTATCACCACACAGTGACAGATGGATAAATGCACCAGGCATGCTGTGCTTTAGCAGGAAGTAGCACAGCTAAATCTGAGCTGTTTTAACACAATAACCACAAAGACACACTGTACATGTGTCAATAACATGTAAGTTAAAAACAAAACAAAAAAGGTGCCATATTTTGTAAAGTAAGGCAGCTGTTGCAGCAACAAGAACATTCCTGGGACCCAGCCCATTGAAAATGTCCACTGTAGTGGACATTTTGTTAACATGCATCTCCTTTGACTGTTTTGAGCTACTCTATCAATCCCTGATGTACTGTACAGAGGACATCCTGGTCTTTTCAGTGATATGTCATTGGTTAAAATTGCATGCTGGGAAGTTCCTCTTTCTTTTCATCCAAAATGGCTGACATACCAAAAACAAAATGTTATAGAAGCAGGAGGAGAAGTCAAATATTGTTGAATAATTGTAATTGTTACCATGAAAATCATATATGTTCTTGTTTATTAACATGTGAGGAACTATATAATTAGTTCTGAAAGCAATTAAATAATTCAAGTTTTCAAATAACAGATCTTTTATAAATGTCCATTCTAGTGGACGTGAGGACCATCTTCATGGACTTTATGACTCAATATTGTTGCAGGAGACAAGCAGACATGTTCTGTACCAGATAGTTCAGGGAGATTCAGATTTTGAGCTCTCAGATGATGAGAAAGATGAGGATTTCACACCTGGGATAGAAGAGGGTCAAGAAGAAGGGGGGGAAAGATACAGGAGGCTCCATGAGCGCACAAATACAGACATAGAGATAGATGGGGACGAGCTGGAAAGACATGGCCCCCTGTGGGCCAAGAGTAGCACGTATGTCTTATTGTTGTTTTTATTTTAAGTGGAGCCATGAAAAATAAGAATTGGAATGCAACCTTTGTTTCTATGAGTATGGTCAAATGGAGACCACATCCATAAAACTAGTCAAGATGACCCTACAGCCCGTGCCGACTGGAGTCAATTACTTTTCCCAGTACATTGACTACAAAGTCTTTGAAGATCTGGAAGCATTCACCAAAAACCAGACTAGCAATGTTCAGATCAATTACTTATTAATGTTTTAAATAAAGGTGAATGTATTCTTTTATTAATATCACTATAACCATAATACGTTACATAGTCTATCTGTTAATTTGGGCTGTCTTTTCAAACTAAAATGGTCCAGATGTCCTCTACAGTGGACATACTGTAACATTTAAAAATAAAATAAAATGTAAAAAGTCTATATTGCAAGATGTTTATTTAACCCTAAATAGGTAGGAAATCACAAAAAAAAATTAAAATTGGAAAACTCTTTTTTTCTTCGGGTCCCAGGAGGATATAAAGACAATACAACACTTTACTTTTATTGGATTTAGTGGGATTGCAAACTATTTGTCCTAAAAGGTTACATCAGATTAGTCATTCCTGTAAACTAACGTTTGTCCTTTAGGAGATATTGACATATAGAGGGAAAATAAGATGATTTAGGATTTCTTCATCGTTTTTTCTTAATTAAAATATCAACCCTACTTA